TAAACATGTTTCGAGGCACTCTAAATATGGTTTGACGCACTCTAAAAATATTTTAACAAACTCTAAACATGTTTCGATGCACTTTAAAGGTGTTTTAATGCACTCTAAACATGTTTGGATACACTCTAAACATGTTTAGACGAACTCTAAACATGTTTCGAGGCACTCTAAATATGGTTTGACGCACTCTAAAAATATTTTAATAAACTCTAAAACATGCTTAGATGCACTCTTAGTATGTTTTGACGCACTTTAAACAAGTTTGGATGCACTCTAAAAATGTTTTGATGCATTCTAAACATGTTTGGATGCACTCTAAAAGTGTTTGGACGCACTCTAAACGTGTTTGCACGCACTCTAAACGTATTTGGACGCACTCTGAACAGTTTATAAGAACTCTAAACATGTTTCGATGCTCTCTAAGTATATTTCATCGCACTCTAAACATGTTTCAATGCACTCTAAACATGTTTGAATGCAGTAAGTATGTTTCGATGCATTCTAAATATGTTTTGACGGACTCTAAACTTCTTTTATTGCACATTAAACATGTTTGGATGCACTCTAAATGTGTTTGGATGTACTCTAAACGTAATTTGGTGCACTCAAAACATGTTTAGACGAACTCTAAACATGTTTCGATGCACTTTAAAGGTGTTTTAATGCACTCTAAATATGTTTGGATACACTCTAAACATGTTTAGACGAACTCTAAACATGTTTCGAGGCACTCTAAATATGGTTTGACGCACTCTAAAAATATTTTAACAAACTCTAAACATGTTTCGATGCACTTTAAAGGTGTTTTAATGCACTCTAAACATGTTTGGATACACTCTAAACATGTTTAGACGAACTCTAAACATGTTTCGAGGCACTCTAAATATGGTTTGACGCACTCTAAAAATATTTTAATAAACTCTAAAACATGCTTAGATGCACTCTTAGTATGTTTTGACGCACTTTAAACAAGTTTGGATGCACTCTAAATATGTTTCGACGTGCTCTAAATAATGTTTTAATACACTTTAAACATGTTTAGATGCACTCTAAACATGTTTAGATGCACTCTAAACATGTTTAGATAAACTCTAAACATGTTTCGACGTACTCTAAATATGGTTCGACGCACTCTAAAAATATTTTAATGCACTCTAAATATACTTGGATGCACTCTAAACATGTTTAGATGAACTCTAAACATCGTTCGACGCACTCTAAAAATGTTTTAATGCACTCTAAACATGTTTGGATGCACTCTTACTTTGTTTTGACGCACTTTAAACAAGTTTGGATGCGCTCTAATTATGTTTCGACGTGCTCTAAACATGTTTTGACGAACTCTAAACATCTTTTATTGCACTCTAAACATGTTTCGATGCACTCTAAACATGTTTAGATACACTCTTAGTATGTTGTGACGCACTTTAAACAAGTTTGGATGCGCTCTAAATATGTTTCGACGTGCTGTAAATAGTGTTTTAATGCACTCTAAAAATGTTTGGATGCACTCTAAACATGTTTAGATGAACTCTAAACATGTTTAGATGAACTCTAAAACTGTTTGGACGCACTCTAAACGTGTTTGGATGCACTCTAAGTATGTTTGGATGCACTCTAAACATGTTTCGACGCACTCTAAGTATGTTTGGATACACTCTAAACATGTTTCGACACATTCTAAAAATGTTTCGATGCACTCTAAACATGTTTGGATGCTCTCTATAAGTGTTTGGATGCACTCTAAACGTGTTTGGACGCACTCTAAATGTGTTTGAACGCGCTCTAAATGTGTTTGGATGCACTCTAAGTATGTTTGGATGCACTCTAAACATGTTTCGACGCACTCTTAAAATATTTCGATGTTCTCTAAATATGTTTGGATGCACTCTAAGTATGTTTTGACGCACTTTAAGCATGTTTGGATGCATTCTAAATGTGTTTGGACGTACTCTAAACGTGATTTGGTGCACTCAAAACATGTTTAGACAAACTCTAAACATGTTTCGACGCACTCTAAAAGTGTTTTAATATACTCTAAACATGTTTGGATGCACTCGAAACATGTTTAGACGAACTCTAAACAAGTTTCGACGCAACCTAAATATTGTTTGACGCACTCAAAATGTTTTAATGCACTCTAAACGTGTTTGGATGCACTCTTAGTTTGTTTTGCCGCATTTTAAACAAGTTTGGATGCGCTCTAAATATGTTTCGACGTGCTCTAAACATGTTTCGACGAACTCTAAACATCTTTTATTGCACTCTAAACATGTTTCGATGCACTCTAAATATGTTTTAATGCACTCTAAACATGTTTAGATGCACTCTTAGTATGTTGTGACGCACTTTAAATAAGTTTGCATGCGCTCTAAATATATTTCGGCGTGCTCTAAATAGTGTTTTAATGCACTCTAAACATGTTTGGATGCACTCTAAACATGTTTAGATTTCATCTAAACATGTTTAGATGAACTCTAAACATGTTTCGACGCACTCTATATATGGTTCGAGGTACTCTAAAAATGTTTTAATGCACTCTAAATATGTTTGGATGCACTATTAGTATGTTTTGACGCACTTTAAACAAGTTTGGATGCACTCTAAATATGTTTCGACGTGCTCTAAAGATGTTTCGACGAACTCTAAACATCTTTTATTGCACTCTAAACATGTTACGACGCACTTTAAACATGTTTTGACACACTCGAAATTTTTTTTGATGTACTCTAAACATGTTTGGATGCACTCTAAAAGTTTTGGACGCACTCTATACGTGTTTCGACGCACTCTAAGTGATGAGGTCATCGACCTAACCATGTTTAGATTTCATCTAAACATGTTTAGATGAACTCTAAACATGTTTAGATGAACTCTAAACATGTTTAGATGAACTCTAAACATGTTTCGACGCACTCTAAATAATTCTCTTGCCAAAAACATCTCTTGACCGTTGGTGACTCAGCAAGACACAAGGCTGCACTTTCCTTTTCCTTGTTAGAGAATATTTCCATTCTTTTCAATCTTTCCATTTCTTTGTTATTGCAGAAGTTTCTTTCCATTTTGTAATAATTCCTCTTCTCCCTATAAGAAGAGATGTTCTCCTTTGTTTAGGAGCAGATTTCGAATAAAACTTTGAGTAATTTCGTCCATTGATCTTGGTTTGTCCGAGAAACAATCTGCTTGGTGTGTCCGAGCCCCATTCTTGGTGTGTCCGAGAAATCTATCCGTTCTCTTCTCTTTTCCTCTGTAATTTTTGACCCTAAACCTTAGAGTGAGTGTCTTAGGACCAGAACCTCAGGTTAGAGTCATTATCCCACGAAAATTCCAAAACAAAGTCCTTCTTTCGTTCCTATAGTTCACCGAGAAACCCCTAAGTGACCGAGGTGCATATCATTTTGGTATCAGAGCCCGGTTCAAGGACCAACGAGGTAAGTGTTCACTTCTGCATATTTGATTTCGTATTTTGTTTTATTTTTATGCTTTTGTTTTGAAGAAAAAAAGACAAAACCGAAAACACCAAAAAGAATCTCCTTCGGCGAAGAGGTAAGTCCGATTCGTCTCATTCCTTTCAATTTTTACTTTCTGTTTTTCTTTGAATTTTGGTTTAATAATCACTTTAAGAAAAGCCAAAAAGAGTCATGTCGGGAGATGGAGAAAGTAGCAACCAAACCATCCTTCAAGCGTTGCAACAAATCCAAGAACGTTTAACACGTTTAGAACAGATTCCGCGTCGTCCCGAACCAATTCGATTTAACTTTCAAAGACAAGAAGAAGAACCGCAAAGGGATCGAGGTGATGCACCACAAAACCTTCCTCCAAGGCGTAGGGCAGCTCGTGCTCATCGACATCAGATTGATTCGGATGAGGAAGAGGACTACGTGCAAGCACCACAAGTCCAACGAGGTAATGATCCAAAACTTTCAATGCCTACATTCGCGGGTAGAATTAATCCGGATGCCTATCTCGATTGGGAGAGGCGGATGGACAATATTTTCGAATGTTATGAGTATTCGGATCAGAGAAAGGTTAGATACGCAGCGGCACAACTCACCGACAACGCCTTAGCATGGTGGGATCGAGAAATAGCCGAGAGGCGTAGAGCACAATACGAACCTGTCACAACATGGAGAGAGATGAAGTTCATGATGCGTAAGAGGTATGTACCTCCCCATTTTCATCGTGACTTGCAACGCAAATATCGTAACTTGGTGCAGGGAACTAGAACCGTTGAAGAGTACTATGAGGAGTTCGACCTGCAAATCATGGTAAGTTAAACGTTCTACCTTTCGAGCAATTCGCTCCTGCAATCCATCCACAAATTGTGCCATAATCGCTTCTTCGCTTTCATCTAACTCCAATCGGTTTCGTAGGTGCTCGAACTCTTCATAGTACTCTTCAACAGTTCTAGTTCCCTGCACCAAGTTACGATATTTGCGTTGCAAGTCACGATGAAAATGGGGAGGTACATACCTCTTACGCATCATGAACTTCATCTCTCTCCATGTTGTGACAGGTTCGTATTGTGCTCTACGCCTCTCGGCTATTTCTCGATCCCACCATGCTAAGGCGTTGTCGGTGAGTTGTGCCGCTGCGTATCTAACCTTTCTCTGATCCGAATACTCATAACATTCGAAAATATTGTCCATCCGCCTCTCCCAATCGAGATAGGCATCCGGATTAATTCTACCCGCGAATGTAGGCATTGAAAGTTTTGGATCATTACCTCGTTGTCATCGTGCTCAAAACTCGCCTTGTGACCAAGAGTTCTCCACTGTCCGGATACTCTATGTTCTCCTCAGCATCATCAACCTCCTCTTCGTCCAGGGA